CAATCACGGCTCACTGCAGGCTCAACTTCCTGGGCTCAAGTCATCTTCTCACCTCAGCCTCTCAAGTAGCTCTCACCTCGGCTTCTCAAATAGCTGAGACTGCAGGCATGCACCACCATGCTCAGCTAATTTTTGCACATTGTTGTAGAGGTGGGGTCTCACTCTGTTGCCCAGGCTGGTCTCAAACCCCTATACTCCTCTGGCCCTGGCCTCCCAAAGTGCTGGGATTCTAGGCATTTAGTCACTGGGCCTGGCCACAAATGTATCTTAATTTTTTTTTTTTTTCAATAACTTTTTGTTGAAAGTTTCTAGTTCTAGTAATTTCTCTGTAGCTTTGTTGGCTTCTCTTAAATGTAATCATGTCATCTGTGACTAATAACAATGTTTATTTTATTATTTTCAATTGTTATACCTTTTCTTTTTCTTGCTGGCTAAACTCTCCATTGCTGAATAAAAGTCAAGCCAGTGGATATTTTTATCTTATTTCTGATCTCAGAAAGGAAGTTTCAGCATTACACCATTAAATGGGAAGTTGCCATTGGATTTTATACAGATCTTTTATAAGTGTATAGATATTTCCATTGGTGATGGAGGGATTCCTGCCTTAGGGTTATGAGGTTGGCCCAATACATAACATCTGAGACTGGACAGAGGAAATTGACAACAGTTTATTAGTCACATAGACTTATATAGCCCTGGGGAGGACAATACATTGACAGGCAGGGCCATATAATGGTTGCACTTGGGACAGAGTAAACATACAGGGACTGTGGAAGGTAGTCTTTTATGTAGTATCATAAAAGTGGGATGCCCCTGGTTCCCACAGGGGGATGTGATTGGCTTGTGTGAATAATTCTGTAGACTGGCAAGGAACTGAAACTCAATATTTAAGCATAAGCAGAAATTGTGCCTGGTCGCTTTAATGAAGTATTTAGTTAAGGGACCTTATCTGTGAAGTAGGATGGGGAGAAGAACTTGTGATTAGGTTATTCAAGGTCCTCCCAATTTTACCAGAACCAAGGCAGTACATAATATTGAACCTCTCAGTTCTAGGCCATATACTCCCCCCATTTATTTCCTAGTATTTACAGAGGGTGTATGTCTGTCTCTGTGTGTCTATGTGTCTGTCTTTTTTATCATGAATAGATTTTTTTTTAAGACAGAATTTTGCTCTTGTTGCCCAGGCTGGAGTGTAATGGCGTTATCTCAGCTCACTGCAACCTCCACCTCCCTGCTTCAGGTGATTCTCCTGCCTCAGCCTCCTGAGTTGCTAGGATTACAGGCACGTGCCACCATGCCCAGCTAATTTTTGTATTTTTAGTAGAGATGGGGTTTCACTATGTTGGTCAGACTGGTGTGGCACTCCACCTACCTCGGCCTCCCAAAGTGCTGGGATTACGCTTTGGGAGGCTGAGCCACCATGCCTACCCTTAGATTTTTTTTTTAAGTATACTTTTTCTTATTTATCTAATGAAAGCATAATTCCTTTAATCTGTTAGGTGTTGAGTTCTAAGAATGGATTTTCTAATAGTAAAATAACCTTAACTTTCCTAGGCAGTAGTCTACTTAGTGATGGTATATTATACTTTTCACATGCTGTAGGATGTGGTTTGCTAATACTTTGTTTATTGCTTTTGTGTTTATGAATTACCTTGGCCTGTGGTTTTTCTTTGTAATACTGCCCTTGTGAGTTTTCTTGTAGAGTTAGGCGAACTTCATAAAATGGATTACAGAGTGCTACTTATTTCCCTGAAGGAATTTGTGTAAGATTGGAATTAAAGTATATTTCTTGAATATATGGTAGCAGTCAGGGACTGGGCTTTTCTTTGTGGGAAGATCTTAACTCTGGATTCAATTTTCTTAAAGAAAATTGATAAAATTCAATTGATAAAATTCAATTTATCTATAGGACTCTTCTACTTGAGAGACTATGGTAGACAGTTTCTTTTTTTCTAGGAATCTGTACATTTTGTATACATTTTCAATTTTATTGATATAGGTAGTTGATAATAACCTCTTGGAAATTGTCTGTGTCATCTAAAGTTATGAACTTTTCTTTTTCATTCCTGGTGCTGATTTTATAGCTTCTCTATTTCTCTTTCCTCAATATGGATTTTCAATTTTATTGGTTTCTTTGAAAAAAATACATTAATAATTCTATTTTATTAATTTTATTCTATTTTCTTTGAGCATATTTTACTATGCCTTATCAATGTTCTGAATACTTTTTTTTATTGTGGTAAAATATACATAACATAAAATTTACTACTTTAATCATTCAAATATATAATTCTGTGGCATTAAGTACATTCATAGTGTTCTGTAACCTTCTCTACTATTTCCAGAATTTTTTCATCATCCTGAGCAGAACTTCTTTACCCATTAAGCAAGAACTACTCTCTATTGCCCCTTTCTCCTAGCCCCTGGTAACCCCTTTCCTACTTTCACAAATAGAACATTTTTTTTTTCTTTTTTTTTTTTTTGAGGCGGAGTTTCGCTCTTGTTACCCAGGCTGGAGTGCAATGGCGCGATCTCGGCTCACCGCAACCTCCGCCTCCTGGGTTCAGGCAATTCTCCTGCCTCAGCCTCCTGAGTAGCTGGGATTACAGGCACACACCACCATGCCCAGCTGAATTTTTGTATTTTTAGTAGAGACAGGGTTTCACCATGTTGACCAGGATGGTCTCGATCTCTTGACCTCGTGATCCACCCGCCTTGGCCTCCCAAAGTGCTGGGATTATAGGCGTGAGCCACCGCGCCTGGCCTCAAATAGAACATTTTATTTGCCACAATTTGAAAACAGATTATTGGACTGGTGGTTCATATCCATTAGCTCATTCAACTTTAGCACTGATCTCATCCCCAGTGGCTTTCCCAGAACTATTACCTTCACCATGAAGCTCCATGAATTTTCCCAGTTCAAATCTGGGCTTCTTCCGCATTTCTACTTTTCTACTAAAGCCTTCATGGAGGGGATAGATTGGCAAGCCTTTTCTATGTCTTTTCCAATGCTATCCAAAATCAGTGTATTGACCAATTCTTTCAGGTGATTTGTCAGCACCTCTCAGGTCATGATTTCCAGCATCATCTTCTGGATTTGGCAGACCTGTTGGTGCTGAGCAAAAGAGATCTTCTGTATCTGATTGTTGGTTTTTTAGTAAAACCAACACAGAACAGGTGAAGCAAATAACCATCAGTAGTAGTCTTGATGTTGACATGAGCTTCAATCATGGTCTGCCATGTTTTGACCGTGGAACACATTTTGTCAAGGGGTAAGACCCATGCCATGAAAGTTAGGCAGTTTTTGCCCTGAACATCTTCGGTAATCAGCTTAAATTTTCTAAATGCAATTTCATCATTCTGCAAGTCAACAAGACTCACTTCAAACACATGACCCTTAAGAGGATCAGGTGCAATTTTTGTTTCTTGGGTTCTGGTGTCTTTCCAATATTTCTTAGATTAGACATAGCAGAAGCTTTCATATCATACCAATCTTTCTAAGAAAATGGATCAACCACCTTCTTGGCTCCCTTTGCTGCCTTTTGTAAGGTGCTTGTTCTTGACAACCACTGTTGTGCTGCTCCTCTTTCCTTCTGTCCTTGTGAATTTGCCTATTCTAGAACCCCATGCAAATAGAATTATACAATATTTGTTTTTTTCTGGCCTGACTTATTTCCTTTAGCATAATATTTTCAAGTTTTATCCATAGCATAGTGTTGGAAACAAGTTTTCAGTGCCGCAAAAAAAATAGCACTCGAACATAAATTTTCTCAGCAAGGCAAATTTATTTCTTTAGAAGATTGTGTCTGGTGGATGGAGCAATGGTGAGAGCATACTGGACAAGGTAGGGGGAGGGAGTCCTATCCCTGATGTAGCTAGTCCCTACTGCTGTGTCTTTCCCCTATTGGCTAGGGTTGGACACCACAGTCTTAGCTAATTCTGATTGGCTATTTTAAAGAGAGCCAGGGGTATGATCCAGAGAGGCTGGGTGAGTAGTTTTGGTGGGATGGATGGTTACAGAGCAGGTGACAAAGGATGACTAAGGACAAAGCAGGTGATAGAGGTTAGGAGGGGGTTGTTCACTGAAACCAGGGGCAAGGAGACATAAGTAAAGAACAAGGAAGTTAAACTTTAAAATGGAGAACAAAGAATAGGGAAGCTGAACATACTGACATTGGTTATTTGAAGAGGAATTTACTGTATCCTACAGTAGCATAAATCAGACTTCACTTCTTATGGGTGAATAATACTCCACTCTAAGGGTACAGCACATTTTATTTACACATTGATATTTTAGTGAATATTTACGTTGTCCATGCTTTATTATGAATCATACTGCTATGAATGTTGGTGTACAAGTATCTGTTAGTCCCTGTTTTCAGTTATTTTTGGGTGTATAGGTGTAGAATGGCTGTTAGCTTTTTGGTGAACTACCAAAGTGTTTACCACAGCAGCTCTGCCATTTTGCATTCCATCAGCAATGCACAAGAGTTCTAATTACACCACATCCTGGACAATATTTATTTTTCCTTTTATTTATTTAATTTTTTGGATGAAAGCCATTCCTAGTGGATGTGAAGTGATAATCTTATTGTGGTTTTGATTTACATTTCCCAAATGATGTTGAAAATCATTTAATGTGCTTGTTGGTTTTTTTTTTTTTTAAATCTTCTTTGGAGAAATGTTGGATAGACACAGTGGCTTGACACTTATAATCTCAATTCTTTGGGAGTTTGAGGTGGGAGGATCACTTGAGCCCAGGAATTTGAGACCAGACTGAGCAACACAGGGAGACTCTGTCTCTACAAAAATAAAATTAAAAAAATTTAGGCAGGCATGGTGGTACATGCCTGTAGTCCCAGCTACTCAGGAGGCTGAAGCAGAAGGAACACTTGAGCCCAGGAGGTGGGGGCTAAAGTGAGAGGTGATTGTACCACTGCCCCCCAGCCTAGGCAAAAGGATGAAACCCTGTCTCAAAAAAAAAAAAAAAAAAAAAAAAAAAAGAATAGAAATGTCTATTGAAGCTCTTTACCTATTTCTGAATTTTTGTTAAGTTGTAAAAGTATGTATTCTGGATACTAAGGTGCTTTATAAGATACACGATTTGCAAATATTTTCTCCCATTCTGTGGGTTGTCTTTTTACCCTCTTGATAATGTCCTTTGATGTACTGTAGTTTTGATTTTGGTTAAGAGGGCATCCTGCAAAGTAGCAGAGTAGGAATCTCTACAGGTTAATTCTTACATTGAAACAACCAGTAAACTGGAAAAAATGACCAGAATCAACTTTCAGATTGTGGAGTCAGGGGAGTGCTTGATGATGGGAGAGGCTACTGCTCTGGGGAAAGTCCCAAATGGACTGTACTAACCATCAACAAGCAAAAATAAGCCACCTCTTGGAAGCTGGAAAATTACTGAATTTATCCTACTTGGAGCTTATTGAGCATCTGACATGTATGGATTCATGTTCTTCATCAAATTTGGAAACTTTTCAGTATTAATTATTCCACTTTTTTTTTTGGGCCTCTTCCTCTTACAGGACGTGTTCGATGGTGTTCCACAGGTGCCTTAGGTTCTGTTCATTTTTTCTTTATTTTTTCATTTTAATCTTCAGACTGGATAATTTCAATTGTTTTATCTTCATGTTTGCTGATTCTTCTGCCTGATCAAATCTACCTTTGCACTGCTGTATGATTTTTTTCGTTTTAGCTCTTGGGCTTTTCAGCTGCAGAATTTCTTTTTGATTCCTTTCTATAATGTATGTCTCTTTACTGACATTCCCTGTTTGTTCATACCCTCTTCTGATGTCCTTTAACTCTTTGTGCATAGTTTCTTTTATTTCATTGAGCCTATTTGAGACAGTTGACTTAACATCCTTGACTAGTAGTTTGATTGTCTGGGCTGTCCCAGGGATAGTTTGCTGTCAAATTATTTTTTTTCTGTCAGCCAGCCATGTGCTTTCTATGATTTAAAAATTTTTTTGTTGAGAACCAGTCAATTTGAGTATTACACTGTGGTGGTAACTCAAAAACATATTGTCCTTTTACTCAGGGATTTATTTTGTTGTTTATTGAGATCTAAAGTTGTCTATTTGTATAGTGACTTTTCCAAATGATTTTTGTGAAGTCTGTGTTCCTTATTATGTGGATTATTGAAGTTTCTGTCTGATTAACTCTGTATCTGCTTTCAGCCTCTCAGATATTTTTAAATGTCTAGATTCTTAAAAACTGGTGTGTATTCCTTTTAAATGTTCTGATAGATGTCACCAGAGAAGCTATCATAAGCCTAAGGGAATCAGATATAGCCAACCATCTCTGCTGATCCTCAGGGAACTGCCATACCAATTAAATCACACCCCAGAATTTTAGAGCACAAAGTCCATACTGTTCACTGTAGCAACAGTGAGCCACTCTAGGAATGCTGTCCCTGTGTTGCAGCAGGACTGTGGAAGGAGTCATGGTAGCTGGTTCAAACACACGACTCTCTTACCAAAGATAGATAGTCACCTTGATAATACCAATAATTATATCACAGCTGTCTAAAATATGTATTATTTCTCAATAGTCTAATACAAGTCCATCTTCCATTTTTTTCCCTTTTCCCAAAAATGCCCTTTATGTCTGTTTATTATTGTTATTATTTTTTAAATAGGGACAGGGTCTCCCTATGTTGCCCAGGCTGGTCATGAACACCTGGCCTCAAGTGACCCTCCCGTTTTGGCCTCCCAAAATATTAGGATTACAGGCATGAGCCACCATACCTGGCCATGTTTCTCTTAATCTGGAATTACTTCTATGATTAATATGAGTGGTGGCTCATACCTGTGATCCTAGCACTTTGGGAGGTTGAGGCAGGAGGATCACTTGATGGCAAGAGTTGAAAACCAGCCTGGGCAACATAGCAAGACCCCATCTGTATTTTAAAAAGGAAAATAAAATGAAACAACAACAAAAAGAAAGATGTTAAACCTTACAATACGGAGTATGTCAGCTAAAACTATACCAATATAGCTATTTTTCATCTATCAGGCAAGAGTCCAAATGTTTGTTAAAATACTCTATTTGAGACTTTGAGAAACTGGATATTGTTACACATTTCCAACGAGAGTGCATTTGGTGGTTTCTAACAAAACTGCAGATCCTTTTATCCTTTGACCCACAAACCCACTTCTAAGAATCTATTTTAAGGGTACATCTGCCACTAGTAAAGTGATATGTAGACAGAGTTATTCATTGAGTCATCACTGTAATAGCAAAAGATGGGAAATAAGTTGTAAAAAAGGACTGGTTGAGGTACATAGAATGTGGGGAAAAAAAGAAGGCAGGTAGATCTTTATTCACTGATAAGGAGTGGTCACCGGGATGTATTGTTAAGTGGAAAACAAAAACAAAAACAAGCTGCAGTACAGTGTTTTTTTGCAAAAAGAACTTCTAGGAAAAGAAAAAGAAAAAAATACTGGATAGACACCAGAAAACACGGCTTAATAAGAATGATTATTTATAGGGCAGGTCAAGTAGGGCAAATGGAATTGAGTGATATAGATGGAAGAGAGGGTCGGGGGCTAGGGAGGGATAGCATTAGGAGAAATAACTAATGTAGATGACGGGTTGATGGGTTAAGCAAACCACCATGGTACATATATACTTATGCAACAAACCTGCATGTTCTGCACATGTATCTCAGAACTTAAAAGTATAATAATGAAATTAAAAATAAAATTAATAGTAGTGTCCTGTGAGAAATCCAATTGTTATAATTTATATTATTTGATAAATACAATGAAAGTATCATAAAAAGACTCACACTCTTTTGACTATAAAGAAAAAAGATGGAAGAGAGATTTGCTATACTTTTTTTTTTTTTTAGATGGAGTCTTGCTCTGTTGCCCAGGCTGGAGTGCAGTGGCACGATCTCAACTCACTGCAACCTCTGTCTCCCTAGTTCAAGCAATTCTCCTGCCTCAACCTCCTGAGTAGCTGGGACTACAGGCATCTACCACCACGCCCAGCTAATTTTTTGTCTTTTTAGTAGGGACAGGGTTTCACCGTGTTATCCAGGATGGTCTAAATCTCCTGACCCCCTGATCCACCTGTCTCAGCCTCCCGAAGTGTTGGTATTATGGGCGTGAGCCACTGCACCCAGCCTGCTATACTTTGTAATACAGTTTTTGACTTTTGAACCCATGTAAATGTTTTACATATTCAAAAATAATTTTATATCAAAACAAAAAGTAAACTCTAAAAGTAGTGAACCTACAAAATGTATCAAACTGGCAACGTAGCAGCATATATTGGCATTTTATTATTGATTCTGATAGTCTTGTTTCAACTAATACATCTTAATCTTTAACAATATTTCTGGATTTAGGATTCTGGTTAGGCAATTTTTTGCACTCGGAAGACAGCCTACTACTGTCTTCTGAACGTTTTAGCTGACGAAGTAGGATAACAGCCCTACTTTCGTCTTTTTTCATGATAATTCATCCTTTTTTCTTTGTATTTAAAACTTCTCTGTCTTTGATTTCTGCAGTTTTAGGATGGTGTATTTATTTTCTTCATTTTTTAAAAATAGGGATGGAGTCTTAACTGTGTTTTCCAGGCTGGTCTCAAACTCCTGGCCTCAAGCAATCCTCTTGCTTCATCCTCTCAAAATGTTGGGATTACATACATGAGCTACCATGTCCAGTCTAGTGTGATACATTTAGATGTTAGTTTCTTTTTATTCTACTTGGGAGTCACTGGACTTGGGAAACTTAATAGAATCTGTTACTTCACGTCAACAAAATTCTTGCCCATTTTATTCTCTAGGTCCATCCTTTTGAGACTCTGATTAAATTGTTATGCAATCTATGTATATGTCTATTTCTGGGCTCTGTTCTTTTCCATTGTTTGTGTATATTTCTCTCCTCTCTCGAATACCACCCTATTTGATTACAGTAGCTTTACCCGTAGTGTCTTGAAATCAAGTAGCATAAGTCCTCCAAATTTGGTATTTTCTGAATTGTTATTGTAATTCTCTGTCTTTTGCTTTTTCATTAAATTTTAGGATCAGTGTGTCAGTTTCTACAATCTCATCACTTGTGAATTTAATTTTACTTCTTCCTTTCCAATCTGGATTTATTTTCTTTATTGTGCCTTTTTGCACTCACTAAAACAGTTCTAAATAGAAGTGGTAAGAGTGGACATCCTTGCCTTCCCAGTCATAGCAGAAAGCATTCTATATTTCATCATTAAATACCTATCAGCTAAAGGTTTTTCAGAGATGGTCTTTATCAGGTTGAGGAAGTTTCCATCTGTTCTTAGGTTGCTGAAAATTTGTTATGGATAGGTGAACCTTTCAGATTTTCTTTTTTCCTTTTTCTTTTTTTGAGATGGAGTTTCGCTCTTGTTGCCCAGGCTGGATGGAGTGCAGTGTGGTGATCTAGCCTCTCCGCGATCTAGCCTCACTACAACCTCTGCCTCCTGGGTTCAAGCGATTCTCCTGTCTCATCCTCCTGAGTATCTGGGATTACAGGCATGCGCCACCATGCCAGGCTAAATTTGTATTTTTAGTAGAGATGGGGTTTCTCCCTGTCAGGCTGTTCTTGAACTCCTGACCTCAGACGATCTACCCACCTTGGCCTCCCAAAGTGCTGGGATTGCAGGCGTGAGCCACTGCGCCTGGTTTCTTTTTCTTTTTTAATTGTATTTTATTTTAGTAGAGATGAGATCACGCTATGTTGCCCAGGCTGGTCTTGAACTCCTGGCCTCTAGTGATCTTCCTACCTCAGCCTCGCAAAGCACTGGATTACAGGCATGAGCCACTCTGCCCATCCAAAATTTTCAGATTTTTTTTCACCAGATATACTGAGATGATCAAATATGGCTTTTCTCCCTTATTTTGTTAACATAGTGAATTATTTGAATGCTCAACCAACCTTGTATTTCTGGAATAAACTCTACTTGATCATGACGTATATATATTTTTATGTATTTCTGTGTTTGATTTTCTGGTGTTAATGATTTTCTGTTAATTTTTGTTTATGAGAGAGATTGGTCTATAATTTTCTTTCCTTGTAATGGCTATCTGATTTTAGTATCAGGGTAATACTGGCCTCATAAAATAAGGTTGGGATTATCTATTTTCTGAAACTGTTTAGGGATGGGATTACCTTCCTTAAATGTTAAATAGAATTCACCAGTGGAGCCCTTTGGATCTAGACTTTTCTTTGTGGGAAGGATTTCTGTTTGTTTGGTTGGTTTGGTTTGGTTTGGATTTCTTGTAGAGAAGGGGTTTCACCATGTTCCCCAGGGTGGTCTTGAAATCCTGGGCTCAAGCAATCCTCCCACCTTGGCCTCCCAAAGTGCTGGTATTACAGGTATGAGCTACTGTACCTGGCCCTTGGGAAGGTTTTCAGTTACAAATTCAATATTTTATTTTATTTTATTTTATTTTATTTTATTTTATTTTATTTTTTGAGATGGAGTCTTGCACTATCGCCCAGGCTGGAGTGCAGTGGTGCGATCCCTGCTCACTGCAACCTCCACCTCCCAGGTTCAAGCGATTCTTCTGCCTCAGCCTCCCGAGTAGCTGGGATTACAGGCACCCGCCACCACGTCTAGCTAATTTTTTTTGTTAAGTAGAGACAGGGTTTCACCACATTGGTCAGGCTGTCCAGGTTGGTCTTGAACTTCTGAGCTCAAGTGATCTGCCCGCCTCAGCCTTCCAAAGTGCTGGGATTACAGGCTTGAACCACCATGCCTGGCCTTATGTGGTTTTTTAAATTTTTATTTTTACTGATTTATTTTTTGAGACAGGGTCTTACACTGTCACCCAGGCCAGGTTGCAGTGGTGCAGTCTCAGCTCACTGAAACCTCCGCCTCCCGGGCTCAAGACATCTTCCCACCTCAGCCTCTTGATCCTGTCATTAAACTCACTTGAGTAGCTGGGACCACAGTCACAGGCTACCATGTCAGGCTAAATTTTGTTTTTTTTAATTATTACTATTTTTTAATTTTTTTTTTTTTTTTTTTGAGACGGAGTTTCACTCATGTTACCCAGGCTGGAGTGCAATGGCGCGATCTCGGCTCTCCGCAACCTCCGCCCCCTGGGTTCAGGCAATTCTCCTGCCTCAGCCTCCTTAGTAGCTGGGATTACAGGCACGCATCACCATGCCCAGCTAATTTTTTGTATTTTTAGTAGAGACGGGGTTTCACCATGTTGACCAGGATG